AATTGGTTGTAGTTATCCGATACCAATCAATTTTGATTGGTTAAGCAATCAGTTCTTCCTGCTATAAATAAAGGCTCGCGTTCCTCATTTCAAACACACCAAAATAAGAGAGAAGCAATAGAAGTTAGAGAGAGTAATTCACACATTGTAGTATGTGATATAAATAGTGAGTGTGAGTAATATTGTAATGAGGTGTTTAAAATAAAAAGTGTTATTTCTTTTGAAGTTGTAGTAGTCTCTTGACACTACTAAGTTGTAATATTATAGTGGTAATATTGTTCCGCTCGAGTATTGTATTTTACGCCGTTAAAAGATTTGGTGTCGTTGTTACTCTCTTGTGTTATTGCTATTTATCGTGGATATTATTCCTGACTGGGATTATTATTTTCCCAACAACGTGGTATTAGAGCGGAATAACAATTGTCCTTCATTTTTGTCCATTGCATAAAAGAAGTTTTGGGCACAAAGTTATTTTTCAAATAGTTGTAGGCTGTGAGAAAGAACGGGAGAAAATATATTATTGATATTGGTTACTCAATATAATACAAGAGGTCCATTTATAGCTATAGTCTACAAAGTACATATTACTCCCATTCCAATGTGGGACTACACATAATTGTAATTGTAAACTAACACTCCCCCTCAAGCCGATGCATAACGAGAACCAATAAGAGATTTAGTGAAAATATATGCTAGTTGATCATTCGACTTTACAAATTTGTAACAATATCTCCTGAAAGTATTTTTTTCTCTGACAAAGTGATAGTCGATCTCAATGTGCTTAGCCCGCTCATGACGCAATATGAAAAGCAGCTTGGTTATCACACACCAGTTCCATCTTGCTGATTTCTCCTAACTTTAACTCCTTGAGCAACTGCTTGACCCAAACTAACTCACACGTTGCCATAGCCATGGCCCGATATTCGGCTTTGGCGCTAAATCGAGCAACTACATTATGTTCTTGCTCTTCCAAGAGACCAAATTACCTCCTACTAGAACACAATATCCAGACGTAGAACGTCTATCAGAAGGTGATCCTGCCCAATCAGCATCTGTGTACCCAACAATCTGCTCGTGGCCTTGATCCTCAAATAATAATCCTTTGTCTGGAGCTGACTTTATATACCGAAGAATGCGAACAAATGCATCTCAGTGACTATCACAAGAAGAATCTATAAACTGACTTACAACACTCACCGGAAAAGAAATGTCAGGTCTAGTCACTGTGAGTTAATTCAATTTTCCAACCAACCTCCTATATCTCGTAGGATCTCTAAGAGGCTCCCCTGTCCAGGCAGAAGCTTAGCATTCGGATCCATAGGACTATCAATAGGTCTGCAACCCATCATTCCAGTCTCCTCAAGAATGTCTAAGGCATACTTCCGCTGTGAAATAACAATACCTGAGTTAGACTGAGCGACCTCAATACCTAGAAAATACTTCAATATTCCCAGATCCTTAGTCTGGAAGTGCTAAAAAAGATAACAATACCTGAGCTAGACTGAGCGACCTCAATACCTAGAAAATACTTCAATATTCCCAGATCCTTAGTCTGGAAGTGCTAAAAAGATGCTTCAGATTAGTAATACCATTCTGATTATTGTCAGTAATAACAATATCATCAGCATAAACCACCAGATAAATACACAGATTAGGAGCAGAATGCCGATAAAACACAGAGTGATCAGCCTTCACTACGAGTCATGCCGAACTCCTGAATAATTGTGTTGAACTTACCAAACCAAGCTCGAGGGGACTGTTACAAACCATATAGTGACCTGCGCAATCTGCATACACAACCACTAAACTCCCCCTGAGCAACAAAACCAGGTTGTTGCTCCATATAAACTTTTTCCTCAAGATGAGAAAAGCATTTTTAATGTTAACTGATAAAGAGGCCAATGACGTACAGCAGCCATGGACAAAAAGAGATGAACAGATGCTACTTTAGCCACAGGAGAGAAGTATCACTATAATCAAGCCCAAAAATTTGAGTATATCCTTTTGCAACAAGACGAGCCTTAAGCCAATCAAGCTGGCCATCCGAGACAACTTTGACTGCATAAACCCAACAACAACCAATAGTAAACTTACCTGCAGAAAGAGGAACAAGCTTCCAAGTGCCACTCGGATGTAAAGCAGACATCTCGTCAATCATAGCATGTCGTTATCCTAGATGAGATAGTTCCTCACCTGTAGACTTAGGGATAGAAACAGTGGACAAAGAAGATATAAAAGCATAATGAAGTGACGACAGACGATGATAACTTAAACCGACATAGTGGGGATTAGGATTGTGTGGATCGTACACCTTTGCGGAGCGCAATTGGTTGACTAAGAGGAGACAAGTCCGTAGTAGGTGCAGAATCTGATGCAGGACGTGAATCACTCGGGCCTGATGCTGGACGTGGACGACGATGATAAGTCAAGAGTGGTGAAGATGCAGAAGGTTGAACTGGATTATGTGGAAGAACTGGAGCAATAGGTGGTGGAGCTACAACTGGAGCTGTAGGTGGTGGAGATGGAGATGTAGAGGAAGATGAATGGGAGATAGTGACTGAATCTCCAAAAGATGAAACTGATAATACTTCAGAAATATCTAAGTGATTACCTGGACCTCTGAAGAATGATTTAGCTTCAAAGAAGGCAACATCAGCGGACATAAGGTACCGCTGGAGGTTAGGAGAATAGCATCGATACCCATTTTGTGTTCTCGAGTAACCCACAAAAACGCACTTAAGAGCACGAGGGGCTAATTTATCCGTTCCTGGAATAAGGTTATGGACAAAACAAGTTCTTCCAAAGATACGGGGTGGAAGAGAGAACAAAGGTAAGTGAGGAAACATGACAGAGAATGGAACTTGATTCTGGATAGCTGAAGATGGCATACGATTAATAAGATAGCAAGATGTAAGAACTTCATCCCCCCCCAAAATGCAACGGAGCATGAGATTGTATGAGTAGGGAACGAGCAGTTTCAATAAGATGTCTATTCTTTCTTTCAGCTACCGTATTTTGTTGAGATATGTACGGACAACATATTTGATGAATAATCCCATGAGATTTCATAAACTGTTGAAATGGGGAAGACAAATAATCTTGGGCATTATCACTAATATGCGAATAGAATCCCCAAATTGATTTTGAATTTCAGCGTGGAAGGTCTGAAAAATGGAAAACAACTCAGATCAATTTTTTATCAAAAATATCCAAGTGCACCTGGAATAATCATCAATGAAACTGGCAAAGTAGTGGAATCCCAAGGTAGAACTGACCCAACTAGGACCTTAAATATCTGAATGGACTAAAGTAAAAGGTGACTTTGCTCGATTATCAAGGCGCCAACGGAAATGGGAGCGAGTATGCTTACCGAGCTGACAGAACTCACACCCTATAGCTGACAAGTGAGATAAACCAGGTACCATTTTCTAAAGTTTTGATAAACTGGGATGTCCCAACCGTTTATGTAATAAATCTGGTGAATCAGTAACAGGACAAGTTGTTGAAGGAAGATAAGAAGTGAGTCCATGTGATTTAGCAAAAATAAGGTAATAAAGTCCGTTTGATTCACGTCCGGTACCAATGATCTTCCCCGTACTGCGTTCCTATATAAAAAGATGGTCATCAAGAAATAAAACAGCGTATTTAAGTGATTTGGCTAAGCGACTAACAGTTATGAGATTAAAAGGACTATTGGGAACATAAAGGACTGAATCTAAAGGTAAGAAAGGAAGTGGGCTCGCTTGACCTATTGCAGTTGCCATAGTTTGAGACCCATTAGCCATTGTGACTCTTAGAAGAGATTGAGAATACGAAACAGTAGTGAAAAGAGATTCGTTACCAAAAATATGATCTGATGCACCTGAATCAATGACCCAAGACTCGGAGGTTGAAGATTGGGAGACACAAGTCACGCTACTACCTGTTTGAACAACGGAAGCTATCTCTGAAGATGCCTGTTTGTAATGAACGAACTCAAAATAATCTGATAAAGAAACCATTTGGATTGGATTCAATGGATTGGATCCAACGGATTGTCAGTCAAAGGCTTTTGATACAAATGACATTATAATTTCCACGCGGGAAAAATCAGAAACCCTTCTAAAATCACTGTTCACGTTGTTCATGCCGGAAAAATATAAAAGTGGTCGGAATTTGGTGTAACATAGATGGGTAAGCTCGGAATTCCCTTGCGAACAATCTGTCCCAAAGAATTTTTTTCAAAAAGTGACCGGAAAGGGCCCCACGCTCCGGTGCGTGATGTCAGAATTTCGCTAGAAAAATTTCTTCCGGCGACGCATGGGAGCGCGTGATGGGTCTTCTGATGGACATATTTTTATGGGCTAGTCTCCAAAGTCTGATCTACTTCGTGGTGGTGTTGGTTTCTGCACAACACTGACGAAAAGTGATTTATTTTACTGCGACAGACCTGTGTTTGCCGGAAAAAGACTTCTGGTTGACTGATTTCTCTTCCCGGAGTGGCTGGAATTTAGGCACAGCGATAAATCTCTCACGATTGCTCTGATACCATGTGAGAAAGTACGAGAGAAAATATATTATTGATATTGGTTACTCAATATAACACAAGAGGTCCTATTTATAGCTATAGTCTACAAAGTACATATTGCTCCCATTCCAATGTGGGATTACACATAACTGTAACTGTAAACTAACATAGGCCATCAAATACATTCTACAAGAGGCATTTTAAAAGGGTGTGGTAATGCAGGAAGATGTCTCGAGTATAAATAAATAGGAATCTATAACGAATTAAGCCATTAATTTCATGGATAATTGTAAATTATGTCTACTAAATGTATGAAAAGGCTAACTTGGTTTGTTTGACGAAGAAGAAAGTTGCTCTATTTGCTATATTATAAATCTGTTAGCACAACAAAGATTTGAGAATTCCACAAATTTCCAAGATGAGGATTCATTGACATGTAAATTCTCATATGAACATCCAAAAGGAAAGAAACTAGTTTAAATGCAATATCTACCTTTCTTCTTCTGACAAAATATTGTCATTTATGAGTTTCTGCAACATAGCATCCTGCAATGAAATCATCAACAGTTCCATCTTATGAAGAAGGTGACATTAAAAAGAAAAGTACCATACATATTCAACCAATACTCATCACACAACAGCAAGGCCTTAAAGGCCTATGCCCTAGGAAGTGGTTCAAAGGGATTTTTTTCTTTTTCCTTTTTTTATTTTTATTTTTATTTTATTTTTTTTTGAAGG